GGGTGACCTCCTGGTTCCTAGGTCGATGCTCAACCATTGAGCCACACCAGCCGGGCAGGGTGTGTGTATGCGGGGGGGTGCCCCCTTCGCTGGGTGGGGAATCTGGGGGTTCTGGAGGAGGAATCAGGGACCACGGCTATTGCATTTCGGGGTGACTTACGCCCTGTGTGTTCCCCCCACAGGACAAGGTGACTTTGACTTGGCGGACGCTCTCGACCCAGGTAGGTACCCCAATATTGGGGGAGCTTGGGGGGGGTTTGGGGGGAGGGTTAAGAAAGGGGTGTGTTTCCCACGGGACTGGAGACGCCTGTGAGCAGGTCTTGGCTAAGGGACATCTTCCAGGGGGGGCTCACTCAGCCTCCGGTCTCCGTCCCTCTGAGCTGCTCAGGGCTGCATTCGGGGTCCTGGCTGCTGGCTTTTGCTAATTTTTATTTTAATGGAAAATTTCCATCTTTTCATGTTGGATTTATTTTTTTAAAAAAATATATTTTTATGGATTTCAGAGAGGAAGGGAGAGGGAGAGAGAGAGAGAAACATCCATGAGGAGAGAGAATCAGGGACCGGCCGCCTCCTGCACGCCCCCTACTGGGGATGGAGCCCACAACCCGGGCCTGTGCCCTCGACCGGGAATCGAACCCTGACCTCCTGGGTCCCATCATCCTTATTAAAAAGCTACTCACCTTCTTTCCTTCATGCCCATTGAGTGTGTTTTCTCTCTCTTTAATTTACAGACCCCACCCGGAAGCCGAACTCAGGTGAGTGGTGACCTGGCTGGGTTTACCTGAGGAATGTGTGGGCGGGTGTGTATAGCTGTGGTGTGTGTGCCACCGATTGGACCGTCTGCCCCCTGGTGGTCAGTGCATGTCATAGAGACTGGTCGACTGGTTGACTGTCCCCTGGTGGTCAGTGCACGTCATAGCAACTGGTCGACTGTCTGCCCCCTGGTGGTCAGTGCACGTCATAATGAGCGACTGAGCGGCCTTAGCATATCATTAGCATATTATGCTTTGATTGGTTGAATGGGCAACCGGATACTTAGCATATTGGGCTTTTATTACATAGGATACATAGACTGCATTTTAACACCATACCACTTAATAGTCTCCAAACATTGTAATTTTATTATGATTACTTTATATACCTTTAAAATGTATTTTACATATATCCAAAATGCAGAAAACCTAATATGTCTTATAGGGAAATAGAAATGGATAGCTCTCCCAGCCTCAATTTAAATCTAAGAACTGGCAAAAAGGTGATTTCTTGGTTCAAAAATTTTAGGGACAAAGAGGGAGAATGATGACAATATTTCTGTTATCATGATATTTTGCTGAGGCTAGTCCCCTTCCTAGATAGCTCTTCCTTCTTATCCCAAACCTAACTATTCTTCAATGTTCCTTTATAAAGACTTTTCTATCCACTTAAATCCCCAGTTTTCTTTCTCTCACCTGATACAATAAAGGGTACTGCTCTTTTGACACTCACTTTCTGATGAGTATTTTTCCCAAATTACTCATATGCATTTTCTCCTGTTTCCCAGCCTTATAAAAGGTTCTTTAAGGGTAATGACCATCCTATATAATAAAAGCCTAATATACTAAGTGTCCAGTTGGTCGTCCGTTCAACCAATCAAAGTGTAATATGCTAATGATATACTAAGATCGCTCAACTGTTTGCTATGACGTGCACTGACCACCAGGAGGCAGTCGACAGGTCGACCAGTTGCTATAACGTGCATTAACCACCAGGAGACAGTCCCTCCAGCCA